GCATTGTTTTAAATCACATTGTGCAAGAAGACTTAAAAGCCAAAAACTATTTTACCCTGTACACACATTAAATGTTACTGCTGGGACTCGGCCAACTTCAAATCAAAATTACTTTTGAAAGATTCTTAATGGTAGTGTCTACCATCTACTTGCTGTCTCAGAACCTATTAACTTTATGCCAACCTCTGGATTCAAAGGAAATCCATGTGGCTTTGTTTATCAGCAAATCCATTGATGACCATGTTTGCACTGACATGGTTATTATGTGGCTTTGTGGATATAGTGGTGTGATTGCCGTGGCATGTAACCGCCATGAGATTGCTGATGTTAAAAGAGAACTATGGGGTAATCTTTTGATTCTATAGTTCTCCAAGGATCACGGGAGGACATATACTAACCTCTTCCCATGACCCAAAGCTCAGTATACAGTATAGTGAGCTATATACTAAGAGCGGCGCAGCCGGGACGGATCCCAACAATACTGTCGAGATCCACCCAGCTGGCTGATTGACAGCTGGCTCTGCCTTTCTAGAGGCAGAGCCAGCTGTGCACACCCCCTCCCCTGTCTATTCCTCAAGTCAGCACTGGAGGATCGGAGAGGGGAGGGGGGGAATCCTGACAGTCAACACTCTCTGCAGGGAGATGATCGGGAAGTGAGCAATCACCTCATAGTTCTCCTTTAAGTTGGCTACACACTGTAAGATATTTCTCATTCAGCCACATGGGTTGAACAAGATAAATCACTCCATTTCCCCACCCATGATGACGAGTGTGAATGGAAGAATCTCCCCTGATTAGAACACTAGGACAGTGACTGCAGATGATTGGCTGCAACCACTGTTGTGCCGACAAACTTCTACCTGCTACTTTGACAAAAGTTGATTGAAAAGTCAACTTTTGTTGAGTTCGGTGGTGCCGATAGGGTCACCCATGGATTTTTTGGCAATTCAGCAGGAAACGGAAAAAATTCAATCCGTGTATGGGAAGCTTTAGTCCTCCTGGAGTCATTCAACCTGGGAGACTGAGGACATACTATAAGTACAGGGTCTTATAAAACCACTTGCTGAGTGGGCATTACAATGGCACCTGGGACTCTCGGTGTCATGATGCAGAGCATGGTGGCAACATTACCATGTCTGCTCTGCTCTCTGCATCATTGATGACCTCCCACCCCTGGGAGAAGGTCTAAAGAGGAAGAAGGCCATGGGTGTTGTGTAGGGTAAGGTAAATATTAAAAAATACAGGCTGGGAGGCATTGGGGAGGGGGGCTAGAGCCTGGACTTGGGCTTTGGCTGTTGTGGAGAAAGTGGTGTCTCCCATCTGACTATGCAGTATACCACAGGTTTGTCAATCACAATGAAGGCTGAGCCGAGTTGCAAATATGGGTCAGCCGTAAAAATAGTAATTTCAGTGGGTGTTAAAGACAGCAAACTGCTTTTTGGGGCTCAGTTTAGATTTTTTCCTAGGGTCCTCTTACTTCAGGTTACTCCTTCGTTATCACTCACATAGAGAATCGACATACTTGAACAGAAATAGTCACGCTATATCATGAAAAGCAAATAAGCTGCAGGGTCATATTTCTGTGTTTCCCTTCCAACATCATATTCCAGCTCTTCCCAGCGTTCAGCTTTGTTGTTTGTGAAATTGATTGATATGGCGTGTTACCTTCCCCTGTGTCTATTTTGATTTGAGCACCTGGAAAAAAATGTTTTGCCAGCTTGAATACTAAATAACCCATTTACCAGAAGCTGCGAGTGGTCAGAGTGGGTGCTATGCGGATGGCACAAATTAATTATTCCACACTTGCTCTGGCCCCATTCATTAGCATCATCTGTCACTTTTAGGGTGACATGGCTCTATATTGATGTGACTAACTCGACTTCCTTCCCCCCTATTAAGAACTACAGCTTATGATCATTATGTTACAAGGCACAGTTTACATCTTGTCTGTCTACACAGGTATAAGGAAGAGTTAAAGTGAACCAAGCCAAAATCAGTGATGTATGATTGATGTAGACTCCGCTTAAAGTGAACCTAAGATATGTCCATACCAGGCACCACCCAGAGTCTGAACTCAAACAGTGAATATTTGTAATTTTATAAGGAGCAATTACAACTCAGATCTCTACATTACAGTAACGTCTGGTAAACCATTTGTTTTACTTGGCATACCGCAACGCCCTTACTGCATTGTGTTCCAGTGCCATTCACTTTGAATAATTACACATTCACACTGCAGTGCACCACAACGCACATGCATTGCGGTGTGCTTCATTAAAAAAATGGTGCAGCCCATTCAAAATTAGGGCTACCTTGACCCAATGCACATTCATGTCTGAATGACACTGGGTGTTTTTCAACCTAGATGAGGCCCTGTGCTGGACCGCAGTGCCAAGAGTCTTTGGATGTAGTGCCAGGGTGTCGGTGAAAATTGCAGCAAAAGCTGCATTTAAAAAATATAGAAAAAAACTGAACAATTTATTAAAAATTGGAATTGGGTGTTAGCAATGGGGCAATAAGGAAGGAAAAAGGACTTGTTGGTAGGTCTGATAGTAATGATACCCGTATAGCTGCTGTTTTCAATCACAACAAATCTATGTGTGGACATAGCCCTATCCCACTTACTGTAATAGAGATGAGCAATAATGAACACATCCAGTCACTAAAGTACCCTGATTGCCTATGGAGATTGTTTAGCTTGTTGGAAAATATCTGTGCGATGATGCATGATCAATATGGCAAGTGGCCATATTTTAAAGATAATTAAGAGTCTTTCTTTTTTTCAAAGGCAAACAGAGGACAAAGGACCAGTATTGCCTGTGGTCTCCCTAAAGCTGATCTTTGTTCCACTACTGTCTTGCCTTGTCCTGTGGCTGTGAGTGGAGGCAGCCATCTTGGTAGAGACAGGTTTTGGCCTTTAGATATACAGTATATATATTAATCTAGTTAACTGAGGACAAAAAAAAACTAAAAAGACCTGTCAACAACTTAGATTGGCACTTACATGACAGAAAAAATTAATTTTATACTATTTATGGGTATTTTACATTATGGTTTGGAGTGAGCTGCATCAAAGTTATTTATTCAAGTAATAACCGTATATACCATTTGGAACACACATCAGTTATCTGTCCAGCACTGGGGAAGTGCAAAGCATTAGGTAATTACATAGCCAGCTTTCATGTGATTACTCCTCATTTTATAAGGTATGTATTTTTCAATCAGTATCACAAATAATGTAAAAAAAAAGAAAAGAGAAGACAAGTGTGCGCTTGTCACAGATTATGTATGTTTTTTGGCTCCTGTTGTGAACTCTCCGTACATTTAATGAAATCAGACATTTAAAGGGTTGGTCTAGACAAAAGATATCTTTCGATTTTGGGTGGCTGCAGACAGAATGACATTTTCCACTGGCTCTTCGGATTGTTTTGTGACTTTGATAACAGTTGTTTCCAAGTGCACCTTCCGCAGCTGTTATCAGCGGTGCAAGCCCTCATTCACACGAGTAACAGCCGGCCCATACAGATCCATGCTGCGTGCACGGCCGTATCGGGCCACTCCCGGGAAGGACAGGTGCTGCGTGTGATTTGTACGCAGCAGCCTGTTCTTCTGTATGGTTGTATGCGGCCGTATGCTGCCCTACACTCACCCGAACTGCACGTCCATGCGGGTGTCCGTACTCGTATGCAGACAGGATCGTTCTGCATAAAACTTTGTGTAAAAGCTTACAAATCAAGTGACAGAACTTTCCCATGAGGGAGCTGAGGGGAGCAGCAGGAGAGCAAAAGGAATGTAAGTATATGTTGCTAGGGAGCGCTTAATTAAGCAAACCTTTAAAGAACAGGTTAATTTAAAGCCCATCTCTGGGCACCGGTTAATCTACATGCCCCATGTCCCTCTCGCTTTTTATAACTTTGTACTTTTAATGTCCCAGTATTTTCTCCCTCTTCTTAGCCCCCAGAATGTCATCCAAGAAGCTGAAATTATCCTTTAGCTGAAGTGTTCCAGGAGATATGCAAAAAATTGACAGAGAGAAAGGGTAATGCAGAGTGGGGTCCTGGTCAGTCATACCTTCTATGCTCTGCACTAGCTGTTGTCCCTAATCTCTGGATGGTAATGTAATTGATCCCTTGCTGGGACTGAAGAGCAGGCGGGGAGGAAACCGGTCAACTTGTTCAGAGTCAGCTGGTCGTGTTGACTGGTCCCTACCACCGGATATGGGAACATTGCCAGCAAAAGAGCACCCTTTCTTTTTGGCTATGTGTAGCACAGGGGCACCTATTTCTGTGCCAGGTATGCTGCATTCTAAATAATCAAGGTTATTGTTACTGTGTTTGGATATGAGATTTTTGGAGAAAGCAGAGCAGGTATTTAGGCTTTGTGCTTAGGATGGGGCAGAGATGAGAACGCCAGTGGTGCGACATCATCACAGAGGTTACCAATAGACATGTGCACTGCCAAAAAATTCGTTTAGTTTCGTTTCGTTTTAAATTCGGATTTGTGTTATTTCGTTTTTCAGGATTCAGGTGTGAAAGTCAATTCGGATTCGGAATTCGGATTCGGACGAAATTCGGTAGCGTTAGTACGAACGTTCGGTACGTCTTCTGTTCTTATTCGTTTCTTATTTGTTTCGTTCGTTCGTTTGCAGCAAAAGTGACATTTGAGGGGGAAAAAATATTTTTCTCCTTCTCTAATGTCACTTTGCTCCAACGAACGAAACGAATAAGAACAGAAAACGAAACGAACGTTCGTACTAACGCTACCGAATTTCGGAAATGGAAATTCGGATTCGTTTGCATTCGTTATGTCTGTAATTCGGAATTCGGATACATCCGAATGTCCGAATTTCCGAAAATTCGTCCAAATTTCGATTCGGAACGAAACGAATCGCACATGTCTAGTTACCAAGTCCTATAGATGATTCAGTTCAGGAGATAAGTAGTGCATAGCCTACTGTTACATGGAAACATTGTTGAATGTATGTTTTCTTCTATCCACAGTGTCTTTCTTTCAATGCCATAATGGAGGAGCTCGGAATATCACTAAAACATCCGAAAAGACTAAAGAAAAAGTCAAAGGTCAAGACGCGATCGACTTTCACCAGTATGCTGACCTGTCACCAAAGGCGCATAATCAGGAAAGAGACAATGGCATAGAAACAATGTCACTTAATATCGGCCGGGACTGTATAGAGGGTTTTTTTTTTTAAAGGATTGTGTCTCCTTTTTTTAAATTCTTCTACATGATTTTTATAACAATATGTGAGATCGACACCACATGGAGAATGTGTAAGCCACAGAAAGGCTGCTGACTGGCTCACTGGATCCATTGAAAGTAACGTGTGAATCTTTTCAATACATCAACTGCAGCATTCCATCACCACCATGTACAAATGATCTGTGTGCTTTCTGAATAAAACACATTTTGTTTTTCAGTATGATGCTAAATAAAACACATTCTGTTTTTCAGTATGATGCGTGTTTTGTTTTCTGTTACATGGTTAGGCTGAAAACAAGATGTCCAACATGTCCATCGAGTTTAACCAAAAGACAAAATAAATTAAAGGAGAACTATGAGGTTAGGTATTTTCTCTCAACCTCATAGTACGAGCCGACGTGTGACAATGAAACTGTCACAGGTCGGCTCAATAGAACGGGAAGTGGACGAACACATACCGGCGCTCACTCACTTCTCGATCATGTCCCTGCAGAGAGCGGTGACTGTCACTCACCGCTCCCCGCAGGTATTCCCCTCCCCTCTCCGATCCTCCAGCACTGACTGGCGGAACAGACAGGGAGGGGGCGGGTACAGCTGGCTCTGCCTCTAGATAGGCAGAGCCAGCTGTCACTCACGCAACTGGGTGTATCTCGACAGTAATGTCGGGATCCATCCCGGCTGTGGCGGGCTCAGTATACAGGGAGCTGTAGCTCGCGCTATACTGAGCTTTGGGTCACGGGAGGACGTTAGTTTATGTCCTCCTGTGAACCTTAGGAGAACTGTGGGGAAAAACACTTACCCCATAGTTCTCCTTTAATGAAAAACTTGCATCCTCAACACTCCAAACCCACCATTGATCCAAGGAAGGAAAAAACATTGTAAGGCATGATCCAATTTGTTCTAACAGGGACATTTCCTTCCTGATCCTGAAAGGCAATGGCACACTCCTTGGATTAATAATGTCCAGTGCTATTTCTTTTATAAACAGACAATTTTATTTTCTGCATTTAGAAACCCAGCATTTTTGGGCAGTCTACAAAGTTAGCTAGTAATATCACCCGTGGAAGACTATGCCATAGTTTCACAGCTCTCACCATAAAGAAGGCTTCCATTCAAAGTAAATACTGTTTAATAAAATGTAAGATATTTACTGTGAATACTAGTCATTCATATGCAAATTAAGCTAATAAAAAATAATGCCAGCCGGCCCAGACGTGTTGAAAAATTGTATACTCCTCTGCTTAAAGCAAAGCTGTTTTATGTAGTTGCCAATAGCATGCCGGAAAATGGTATTGGATAAAAATGCTTTTGGCTTATTGCTATTTCCAGAACAAACAAGGCATCAATTCTGTGAGATAAATAGTTTAATAAAATGCTATTTTATATTGTGCCAACAGCAGTTTTGCCTGTGCTAAAGTAATGCAGAGTTACATAGTCAGGTCACATGTCCTCCGAGTTTAATCACTAGGAAAAAAAATTAACTGAAAAACTGCATTTCATAGAACACTAAACCTTCACTTTATTCAAAGGAGGACAACAGAAACCCTTATAAAGCATGGTCTAATTTGCTCCATCATGGAAAGCTGCAAGAATTTGCTCCCCCAAGGCAATCGGATATTCCTTGGATCCACAATCTATAGTGATATATCTAATACATTTTAATAGCTAGTTACTGTATATTATGTGCTTTTAGAAACACAACCGGAGTATTTTAACCAATTTACAGTTGACTAGAACTTCATTGTCTCCATCTCCATACACCTTACAAATATCGTTAGATTTTTTTCTTGTGATTTTATCGAACCGTCGTTCGATTTCCACACGACTGCCCCATCATGCACAGACCAATGTGGATTTCATTTATCCTGCCTTAGCAATACTAACCGAATTTCATCGAATGACAGAATGGATTTTTGTTTGTGCGTGTTCATGTTGCAATTCTTTTCCTACGAAAACGTCATTAATCCATCGATTTTTGTACGATTCGAAAAAAGTTTTCTAGCCTGACGGAGAGATGAAATTCGGCCAGTTGTACAGTAATTGTGATTGTTCACTTCCTATCAAAGGGCTGATTATTATATGAAAAAACTATTTTGTTCAGAAATCGAACGATAATCGCAAGGTGTATGGGCACCTTTACTGTAATTATTAAGGTTATTCACAGAAGGGTGAAGAGTTTGGAGAAGGCAGGAGAAGTGAACAATCTAGGACAACATAGCTTAACTGGAAAGGGAACTGAAGTGGAAGATTTTTCCAAATCAGCTATGTTGTCCTAGATTGTTCACTTCTCCTGCCTTTCCCAAACTCTTCATCCTCTTGTGAATAACCCTGTTTGTTTTTCCATATGCAGAGGTGGAACCTATTTTCTTCCAGAGTGCCTCCATGTCACCTGCAATGACCTTAATGTCAAAAACTTTGCACTATGTTTACTATGTGGTCCATTTATGTATTTATACTCATTCTATTAGAACGTTCTGCTGCCTTTGATACAGTTGACCACCTGCCTCAAAAACTTCCCTCCCTTGGCCTCCAAGACTCTGCTCTTTCCCGGTTCTCCACTTACCTATCTAAGCGCCCTTTCAGTGTCACCTAGACCTCCTTCTCTTCCTTTCTTCTTGTTGTAGGTATTCCACAAGGCTCTGTCCTCAGACCCCTTCTATTCTCCATCTATACCACCTCCCATGATCAATTGGTAACCTATCATGGCTTCTAAAACCATCTCAATGTGGATGACACCCAAATCTATATTTCTACTTCTCAGCTCACTGCCTTACTTACTAACGGACACATCAGTATAGATGCTAAAACTCAAAACTCAATCTTTCCAAAACTGAGCTTACAATAATAATTATATATATAGTATCCATATTGTGAATTGAGCTAATTGGAAACCTGAGTTAATAATAATTTATTTAATTGGCTGCATAGAGTTTGCCTGTTCATATATTTTTGTGAGTTCTCTGCCTAAACCCAAACATACAGGTAAAGTGAGCTCCAGACAATTTATATATATATATATTATATATTCGCACAGTCTCAGTGCGGTCCGGTCCTGCAATATGGGGCAGTGCAGGGTCCCGGTGTTCGAACACCGGGGCCCCGCACTGCCGACGGGCTTCACAGTGAGGGGGCGGGTCCTGTGACTCACCTCCCCTCCCGGCCGCGTCCATAGTAACAGGAGGCGGGAGGGGAGGTGAGTCACAGGAGGTGTGTGTGTGTCACACGTCCCGCCCCGCCCCCTGCAGTGCACACATCAGAACTCCCTGGCTAGGTAAGTCCGAGCACCGGCACGTGGGGGGGTGTTGGTTATGGGGGGTGTAAGGGGGTGAATAGTAGTTTTTTTTATTAAGTGTCTCGTTTAGGAACTTCCGGCTTATATTCGAGTCAATACTTTTTCCCAGTTTTTTGTGGTAAAATTAGGTACCTCGGCTTATATTCAGGACGGCTTATACTCGAGTATATATGGTATATATATATGTAGTGGGGAAGGGTTTGAACCTCTTTGATGTTTTTATTGCTGTCTTCCAGTGGAGAGATTTACATGCACTGTCCCCAAAAGAAACAACAGGAAATAAATAATAATAAGAAATTGTTGTCCCTGAAACAAGTGTCCCCACAGGAAGCACTCCCTCTGTTCTTGTTTCAGTGACAACTCCCCCTCATTTTACTTTGTCTCCTGGTGACAATGGTCCCCTGGACACATTGTGAGGTATGACAGCAACAAAAACTTGTCAGATGTTCCAAAACCTCCCCACTCTATCCAAATTTAGAAAACTGTTTTGGGCTAGAGTTTAACTTTGAAACTGTTTTCCAGGCAGATATAAAAGACACAGATTTAATGCAGCGCTGTATTCATAAAACATAATTTAATACAATAAATGCCATTAACAAAATGTTTAAATACAAGCAGTGTAAGTACCTGAATTTGACTTAGTATCAGCCTTTTGGGGCAGGGAGGAGAGCTGTAAGTGTTACTGAACTGAAGCAGAGAAAAATCATGTTTACTCTTCTGTCAGACAGGACTGTGCTGTGTGGCAGCGCTGTGTAATCTTCAGTTTGTCCCTGACGTTGATCTGTTGGAAGAAGAAAAAGTGGACACATGTAAGGATCTGAGCGACTTTCACAAGGGCCAAATTGTGATGGCTAGACGACTGGGTCAGAGCAACTCCAAAACTACAGTTCTTATGGGATGTTCCTGGTCTACAGTGGTCAGGACCTACCAAAATGGTCCAAGGAAAGAAAACCAGTGAATTGGTGACAGGGGTCATGGGCGGCCAAATTCCATTGATGCACGTGGGGAGTGAAGGCTGGCCCTTGTAGTCCAATCCAATAGAAGAGCTACTGTAGCTCAAATGGCTTGGTGCCAGATACCACAGGATACCTTCAAAGGTCTAGTGGAGTCCATGTCTCGATCAGGGCTGTTTTGGCAGCAAAAGGGGACCTACTTAAAATTGGGTGGGTGGTCATAATGTTATGGCTGATCGGTGTAACTAAACTAGATAAGGAAAAGCAGGAGGTGGGGGTGCAGCTTGATGAGGTCTTCTGAGTGTCAATATCCTCCACAGCCCAGTATGAACAGGGTACCCGGTACTGCTTACTGTCTTGTATTTGTTTCTGGTCACTCAATACTTTATAATCCCAATATCCTGATCATTTACAGTAAGGTGTACAATATCCCACAGGCTGTGTTTCTGCTGCCTCAGTAAACTGACAGTATTCTCTTACCTCTTTGCATCTTAGATTTGGTGGAGTTATCCACAGGCTGAATTCTCCAGGGACAAGAAAGTACACAGTTAAGTCTGCACAGCAAAGTACACTCAGCATGAACCTGTCACCGCTCCAGCCTGTAGACATTATTAACCTTCTTGTAAGCTGTGGGAGTCTGATTTCCACCACTAACACTTGCAATGTGCTGCTTCTCCCTCTAACCTTAAATCCCTCATAGGCAGACAGACACTACCTGACTTCAATATCGGCTACAGGACTATGGCTCTGCAGACAGCAATACGCTGTGACTGGTTTATTCTACTTACAGAAGAATGCATTCTTAAAAGAAGTATGGGCTTTAATATGTTGTCTTTTTAAAGGAAATTTTCAGCATTTTAAAATTTTTTAAATATTTTACATTTGTAATATTTATCCACATTACCAACTGCTCAGTGTTAGAACCCCTCTCTGCCAATCCCTCCACTGGCTTCCGATCGCCCCCAAAAAATCAAAATTCT